GAAATGACAAAAGCGACAGCTACCACACTAAAAAAAAAAAAATCACAGAGGCCACAATTAAGTAATTACATATAGTGTGCTGACGAAATGAGTGGGGGGGGGGGGGGGGGGGGGGAAAGGGCGCCAAGCAAAGCGTAATAAATTGGCAGCGCCAGTGAGCAGCTCCCCTACACATGGCACGGCACATACATACACTTAAATATGTAAAGGGTGATTCAGGTATTTGTCAATTATTTGTGATATCTTAATGTTCTTTCCGCAAGAAGTGCATTTCGCGCGTTGCGTGATTTTTTCGGTTGAAGAGACTGAAGTAACCCGTATGAAAAGAAAAACATAATTTTCACAAATTTTGTTGCATTATATTGACAATATAAAATAAAACCTGCGGTCTCATTGAAACACCCTGTATATCATACATGTGTGGTATTTTTGTATGCCCCAACAAACAATACAATCGACGGTGCGGCGTTAATAGTCAGCGATGACGCGTCGCGGTGATCATGTTGAGTTCAGGTGTAAGTCAGCTGTGGGCAGCAGCGCCAACAGTTTATCCCCCCTAACTCCACCACCGCTACCGTACCAAGCCAACTTCTTTCTCATTAACTCACTACACGGTGTTGTCGACTACGTTCGCTTCGTTGCGCTAAACTTGTCAGACAGGTATTTAACACTCGCCACTGCGTGACAGTGTGACGAAAATAGCCAAGAGTCAACGTAATTAGAAAATAAAGTTCATATAAATAAATAGCATACATACATATATGCAGCAAAATGACCAATATTTGTGTGAATGCTTAACGTTGACAATAAAGCAATTCACAGTTGAGATTGAAAAAAAAAAATACGAATGATAAAATACTTGTAAACACGCAATTAAAAAAGAGCTTTGATGACAAAAAAAAAAAAACAAAAACACAAAATTAATTTGTGTCATCTAAAAAAGTATTTGTATCAGAAGATGGTGGCTGCGATCATGTCATTTGGCATGCAAAGTAATCGGATCAGCGCTTGAACGCGAATGCTAAATATTTATTTATTTTTTTTTAACAACTGCAACAGCAGTTCTGGCACAGCTGGTTGAAAGCAATCAGCCACATTCACATACAATCATACATGTATGTATGTATGTATGAAAAATCGCGTATTCAATTAAAGAGCGTGTGTTGCAGGTGAGGTGCTGCCAGATGTGTGGGTTGCTTAAGCGCAAAGAATTCGAATGATTACTAAACCAAAAAGAATGAAAGCGAGTTAGACTTACATATATACATACATATCTATGTGTGAGTGAATAGCAGGTTGGCTAGATATATGTATGCAAATCTATCAAATGCATTTCTACATACATGTAAAATTAAGTTTTTCAGGTAGACTATGTCATAGATGGGTGTTTGCTGCCTTTTTGGTATGTCTCGGGACCTCGTTGCAAATATGAGAAGTTTTAAATGCAGTACCCAGCTCCGATGCATCGCATTGGTGAGATGAGCTCTTTACCGAACACTTCGTTTCTGGGGCATTATCTTCTGGGTGGGACTCACATTTTTAGGATGCAGTTGAAGTCAAGATTGACGACCATCTCGATCCAGAAGTAAAAACGAGTTATTGATTAGTTAATTTTATCTATATCTTGTCTTACGCTATATAGTTTCGTCCATTATCGTTTCGTGGTTCTTCACTCCGTTTCTTCTTCTTCGCCTCCACTACGCACCGTCTGGTTCGGTTTCTCTAAATAGCTTTGATTTCCAACCAGCTTAACTCAAGTAGCTTCGCCTCTTTGGCGTCTTCTTTGAGCAAGGTGTGGCCTATCCCTTTCCGTCTCCGGAGTCGGACATCAAGGAGCTTCATGTTAGCTTTTCTGGGCAACTCGTTATTTGATATTATTTTAGCCCAAAAATATTCGGGGTGTTATTCTAAAACATCGGTTTACGAAAATTTACAGGCGCCCAGGTTCTTGCAATGCTGACTTTCCAAGTTGGGCAACCGTACTGCAGTGTGGATAATACATTGGACTTGAATAGACTGATCTTAAATCTTGAACTCAAATTTTCGTTACGACATGACGTGTGCATCATATCAAAGACCGCTCCGGCATTACTTATTAGGCGGTCAATGTCTTCGTCGGTGCCACCATCGGGGCAACTTCGCTGCCAAGGTCGGTGCAATTACTCAAAGTCTCAGGTGTTTAGTCGGCGATGGGCCGATATGCCATAAGACATGCCTTCAGCGTGGTCAATGTGCTGACGTAAACTGGACTTGGTCCACAGAAGTCCGCAGTCGAGGACCCATTCACTAAAAGAAAGAGAAGGGATGGAAATATGCAGTTCTGGTTTCACCAGGCACTCCTCTTTGGCACAGGGCTACCCGCAGGCGGTATAATTTATTTCCATATTATTTAATTTCACTTCATTTCTTTTATTTTCATTCCATTTTCATTTCGTATCTTAACTTTTCGTTTAACGTTTCGTTTTATTTCTTTTTTCATTCCATTTTCATAGCGACACACTTTTTTTCTTATGGATGTATATTGTTTCATTTCATTTCACTTAATTTCATGTCGTTTTTTTCCATTTTCATTTCATTTCATTCCATTCCTTGTTTGTTTTTATTACGTTGTTTTATTCAACCTATTTTATTCCTCATTTCAATTCACTTCACATAATAAAAAATTGTGTATGAAATGAATGTTTTAGATACGTTTGTATGCATGTATGTATGTATGTAAGTACGTTTGTATGTCAATAAGTTCATAACCCCCTGAATGACTTGACTCAGCGCTATATACACCACTTAATTACATCCATAAATACATAATTATGTACATACATATATATGTACGTACGAATGTCTGTGGAGGGGTATTCCTCAAAATTTACAAAATCCTCATACAAACCTACACGAATTTGTGTGCATATGCAGCGATAAAAATAAAGCATTAGCGACAACACCAAAAATATCAACGACAATAAGTATGTGAACAGATAATGACTTAACATATTGTGGGTCAAAGTAAATAAAAATCAAACAAAAAATAAAAATAAAATAAAAGTAAATTGGAAAAAATAAAAATGAAAAGCAAACATACAAACACATGTGCGTGTGGAACACTCGCTAGGCAAATACCCTGTAGGAAAAAGTTATCAATTGATAAAAAATAATCAACTTGTAGTTAGATTTTATGCGGGATTTCTATTGAATATATAACTTTTAGTTAACTACAAAAGGCTAACTTTAAACTAGTTGAAAATTAATGCCGATCTAACCGGGTCACTGTTTTCTTTAAACAAGTTTCCATATAAATATCCTCATACAAATTTTACTTTGAATACACTTTCTTTCTGCACTTCACAATTACTTTTTCGAAATAAAAGGAAAATCAAAATCGAATATGGAACCACCTACAGCAGAATATGCAAACGAATATGTAGTGTAATAAAATATAATAACTAATTAAAAAAGTAAAAAGGCAAAAAGAGGTTACCACCCTTGACTATATCGCGGTCATCGCCATGGAAATATAGTTAGATTTCCTCAAAGAAAATATACAGATAATAGTGACCTTCAGTTCCTTTCTAATCAACTTCAAGTTAACTTATAGTTAGATAAATTTCCCACAGGGTATAGACAGTATGTAAATGTATCCACAGGGGTATATATGCATGTACATTAGGGTGGATCTCTCCCTATAAATGAAATAAGTACTTTTATTAGTTTGCTAAAGATTTACGTGAAACCTCCAAAACCGCGTTTTTTATTTATAACAGTTTTGAAAATAATTTTTCTTAAATGATAACCTTAGATGAGAGAAGAGGTTAATCATAAAAGATTTGCATAAAAACGTTTACAAATTTTATCAACGGTAGGTATCAAAATAATGAGATTTTGGAGATATTTTCAAATCGATCATACTCACGTAAATGTCAATAGTTTTTAACGAAATATTTTGGCGGTGGCCTTAGAATAAAATAAATTGTATAGTTCCGGTGGAAAACCGCAATATTTTTTTTTTTGTGAAGCACCCTAATGTGTATACATGTGTTTGATCATCGCTTACTCGCTGCCTGCATGACGCTATATTGGTTTCCTAACTAAAATGACCTTTGCATGTTAATTGCTTTATGTGTTGTTGTTGTGTTATTTATTTTTATTTTTTTGTTGGCATTTTGGAGCACTGCTTTTTGTCGACAAATTTTATATGCTGCTTGTTGCTGTTACTACGTATAATATATATACGATTTCTGATTGTTGTGACTTTTTATGTGTGTATGTTTGTATGCATTTTTTTTGTTTCATTATCTATGTCTGTTGCACATGTGTTGTATTTTTTATCAGTCTGACTGTTTATTTGGCGTCCCATGTCTGTTGTTTGAGTGTCTGTGCCGATGTCTGTCTGTTAGTCTATGCTTTTCCGCTTGTCTGTGTGTCTGTCTTACGCTGTCTGCGGGTCTTTACTCACAATTATTTCCAGTTTTCACACAATTTTCCTCAAGATTTTCCTATTTCTTTTATGAAATTTTTTTTTTTCAGTGAAACATACAAACATACTTTTACTATAACTTATGCCTAAGTGGTACTAGTAACGTAAAATTTACTTACGCAGTACTCAAGTGCGGTTGCCTGCCCTCACACTTGCTTGCTAGTGCTTGTTGTTGCTAATTCTGTTCGCGATCCCTTATTTTTGGTACGTTTCTCGCCTGCATTCCAATTCACGCTTTGAAGAGCTCTTGACTTCTATACATATCTACATATGTATCGTTATCTATTACGCTGTTCCTTGATGCATGTTGTTGCTTTTGTTACGATGCTAAACGCATAGAATCCCGCAGCTACGTATGTGACTTTTTCTCAAGTACGTTCTAAGCTAACAATCTTTCGAGCGATCTCTAAACGATCTCTGTGCCTGTGACTTCCTCAACTAGGTGACTTCTAATCCAGAACACGTCACAACTTCTTCTATGTACGTTTGATCGTTGTGTTCACGCGCGTCTCGTGCAACGGTAACTTGCCGCGACTTTGGCGACGACGGTGGCGATTATGGCCTCACGGCGTTCGACAGACAAGCCATCCGCAGACATTGGCAGGTATGCTGGCGCCTCCTTTAATGCCACAAATTTTTCATGCTGTTGCTGCTGCTTACTAGAATGCCTCATAAAAGCACAACAACAAGAAAAAAGAGCTAGTCGTCGTACAACTATTTACTAGCTGAACTTGTTTTAAATGCGGCGCTGCTTCCTTTTCAGGTTCTTTGCACTTCTTTGCGGCTGCTGGCTGTTCTAGCTGATCTTCCGCTTACCGCTTGCCACTTGCTTGGTAGTTTTTAGCGCACAGCTTGTGACTTTGTTTTTTTTTTTTTTGGTTGGTTGAGTTCTAGGCGCACATGTATCTAGGTATACGCTTGTGTGTGTGTGTGTGTGTGTATCTTCTAGATACCTTATTTTTATTGGCCTATCTACGCCGTTTGTTTATTAATGACTTTTCTGCCGCTTCAAATGTGTGTGTCTATCTGGCGCTGTTGTTGTTGCATTTTGGTCGCCTGCTCTTTGCTTCCTGCAGGCAATTATCGTTGCGCTGCTGCTGTTGCCTGCTACGTCTGGCTGTTCGTCGGCGATCGTGCACTTGAACGTCGGACAATGTGTCGCCAGTGCTGACGTCGTCGTCGTCTGCTTAGTCGACTTTTTTTTTTTTTTGGGTATCTCAAGTGTGTGCGGGAATACAGAGGGGTCTATGCACGTGCGTGATCACTTCTTGAAAATCGTGTGTGCCGTCGTCGTCGTCGTCGTCGTCGGCAGGGTATTCCTCGACCTTTTGCTGGAGTGGCTTAATGCTTGATTTTGTTGTTGTTGTTTTTTCATTCGCTTATTGCCTTTTTCTTTTGTCTTCCTGTCTGTTTCGGCTTTTATTTTGTAGAATTCTCACAGTGAATTCGTGGAACTCAATTAAATGCGGCGACACAGTTATTCTTAACACTTTTTTTTTGTTGTTTTTACTCGTATGTATTTGTGTTTGCGGAGTGCGTATCGAACGACTTTTGTCTGCCTCAAGCGCAGATATGAGGATCACTTGGCGATCACTTGAAGTTTTCGGCACAGAACACACTGTCTGTTTGTGGCTGGTGTTTCTTACTTGAAGGCAAAATGTGCGCTGCTCAGTAAATTATACACTTTTATACTAAATGCGCTGTTACAATTTGAAAAACTACACGTCTGCCAGCTGATCAGCACCTACGACTAACGCGTCAATCAACACAGACAATATTTTCTTTTAGTTTTATTTTTACTTTTACACTATTTCAATGATGCTCACACTATAAATTTGCACTTCAAAGACACTGCTACGATTGCTGATGATTTATGAATACTAAAAAAAATTAATGAAAGAAAATTTTTATTGCAATTTTTGTAACAACAACATGGCATTGATCGCGTAAGTTCTCATAATTATTCACTGGTTTAATCATCCATAAACTCTGCTTGTTTTTTTTCGCTGAGAAATTTCAGTGATTTTTTTTCTTTATAAAAATACTAATTTCCCGAAGTGATCTACATACATATAGTCGCGCGATCACTAAACACTACACTTGTTATGGCGTACGTCCAACCCGTACGGCATTTTGAAATACGAAAAAATATAGGTACGCTCTCTGCGCCACCGATCAAAATGGAATCGCAAATGTAGCGGTGGAGATGCTTGGGAGCTTTGTCTGTTTGGATTTGTGTAATCTGCTTTTGACGGGCAATTCCCAATTAAATTCCAAAAGTTACGAATATTGATTTTCCACACGCTGCTAAATACGTTCTCCGCATGCCACTAAATATTTACTTTTTCCTCTTCTTCTTCTTCTGCTATAACTCATTCAAAAATATAACGCGGAATCGCGCGATCTCGACGTATGCAACGTTACGCTCAAACTAAAATATTTTCTATTTGATTCACACAACACACAGTGCAATGCAGGCGGCGTAGTGATCGAGACGCGGCAGCGTTAACGACGGCGCTGCGCGCTGACTTTTGTCTTTCAGCGATCAAACAAACACACACTTGTAGCGAAATCTGTAGGCAGCAGCGACTGCGACGTCAACAGCGACAGCAGTGCCACCAACCCACACATACTAAACCATTGGTTAATAGTGCGTCCGTCCGTCGTTGGCGGCAATGATAACAATAACAACATACGTATGTGTAATAAGAGGAAGAATAACACAGCTTGTACACTCAACAAAGTAAAGTATAAAGCAGAAAATTCAAAAAAAAAAAAAAAAAAAAAGTAGAAGAAAAAAATTAAAGTGTACAACAACAACGACGCCCATAACTAAGCGACGAGTCTGGCTTTAGTGGCTGTGGTTTGCGAGTCGTTGGGTGAGTGAGTGAGTGAGTGAGTAAACGTGTGGGCCCCAACCAACGGCACCAACGGACAGTGGAGACAATAACCCAGAGCCGGCAGAGCCAAACAACAATTTATTTTGACCGTATAGCAGACAAATCGAAAGATAGTTCGAGTACATAGTCGGGAGCTGGAGAGTTTTAATTGAACGCGACAGCGCAAGCAGACGTACGGGCGGACGGACGAACAGACAGCAGGCACCGAGAGGCAAGGGGTGCACTGACTGGGCACTAAATGACTGTGTGTCTCCAATAAAGCTGGCTCAGCCGGTAGATGTTTTTGTAGCTACTGCTGCCGCTTCAGTGCTTGTTCTTTCCCCTCTCGTTTTGCTTTTTGTTCAGTATATTCTTCACACTGTGCAATTTAAATCACCACTTGACTTGTACGTTGGCGTCAGTGTGTCGGGTATGACGATCATGACGGCGACCACGACGATCACTTGCCTCTTGATAACCTTTTTTTGTTGTGTATTTATGATTGCCTGTGAAAAAGCAACAGATGATCGTCGCTCAGCGCTTCAGATTGTGTTGTGTGCGCGTGTTTTTTTTTCATTTATTGCGTTGCACTTTTTTTTGCTTTGTGAAATCACACGCACGATCAGCTCCAAGCGATCGCGCTGTGTGATCTTTGTCAACGTAGAATTGATTTTTGAATTCGCACTGAGGGCACTTTTACGCGTTCTCAGTATACTTACATATATACTTCATTAATAATGCAAAATTCATAAACTTTGATTCTTAATAGTTTTTTTTTGTGCTGGAGCTTGCCAGTTCTCGAACTTGCCTACGTCGCGATCATCAAATCACGCAAAAGAGAAGAAGAAATTTTCACAGAACGATTGAATTTACGAGTATAAATAAAAACTTAATTCGAAAAAAGCTAAGGAACCATCATTTTCAGTAACCACTCACAGAACGTTCGCCGCGACAACCTTTTATAGTGCGACTGAGAAAAAAATATGCGCTCCTCAAAGTTCGCAAGAATTGAAGACGAGAAGTCGACGGTGAGCATGCCAACAATGAACGTTGACAGATACGACAAAGTTTACGACGCCGCGAAGTATGTATGTGGCCACGACTGAGGAAAATGTCGGCGACGACGACGACGACAACAACGACCAACGTAGAGTCGGTCGCCCCAAACACAACAAAGCAGTAATTGGTGGTGCTGGTGGTGGCCAATAGACAACAGCAATTACGAATACCGCGAACGAGTTTAACATAGATGACAACACAATACAACAAAACATGAATAGCGAACAACTGCTAGAACTAGCAACATTGACAGCAATAGCAATGACATGACAGCCGCTGAATAAGCGATAAGAGTGCGCGTAGCGACGAATAAAGAAAGAACGACACAAGTTATACTATGTACAAAAAAAATGTAAAAGAAATAAAAAGAAAAAAATAAACAAACAATGAAAATGAAAAGCACATAAACCGAGAGATAAACGAATATGACGAAGTAAGAATCAATGTGTTTGTTGAAAACGAAAACCATTTGCTTATGTAGTGAAACTACGTCACGTAAATACTTACATATAGACGTACCTAGTCCTATGGAGATACAAAGGGGGAGTTGATGAATCGCGGGAACCTAATTGCAGAATAAGATCAATATTTCTGAAATATCCAGACTAACAAAAATAAGTTGGATTGAGATGGAATGAAACAAAGAAACTTTAACTCTCTGCGGAGCGTATGGAGGGGTGCAGTTCTCAAAACAGCGTATTGTTTTTAAATGTGTGGCTATTCTCTTGTTAAAGCTATTAAAATGACAAGGCTATTGTGATGGTCAGATAGTTTACCCCATGCTAACTCTGACGTAGACTTTCCTACACTAATCACCTCATTCATAGCAAATATAATTTTATGGGGAACTTTTGAAGAAACAGCTTTGTTTTTTAAATATATGATGGAATGACGTAAAACCATTCAACTGAAAGGATTTGGTTATAACTTTAAGGTCTTTTTATATTGCAGTAAAATTTAAAACCCCAAAACATTCTAATTTTAAGTGACCGATTATAATTTTCAAAATAGTCGGTAAAAAGGCTTCTTAATTTAAGCGAATCCCTGATATCGATACTAGTGGACTGCTAACTCTGGGCTAAACATTTTTTTTAAGTATGTCCATCTCTTGAACAAGGGGAGTCTTTCTCGAAATACTGTTTGAACTTATGCTCGGTTAGATACCTGAAGTCGACAAAAAAAAAACGCGGTAGAAAAAATTCGTTTCCACATTGGTTGCTAATAACCATAGCAACCATTTAGTGGAGCAAATTACTGATATACAATTTTTTCCTGGTACACTTGGCGAATTTTGTCCCGTATGTGGAGAACTGCACGCCGATTTCGGGTGCGAAGAAATCTTTCACCTCCCATACTTCAGCGAGTGAGGACTGGAAGGGGTGCGGTGTCTAGAATCGGGGTCCTGGACCGAAGCTGAATGGGAAAGTAGGTGGCGACGTCTTCTCCCATCAACCTATAAAATTTAGGCTATCGGATGACTGCAGGGTTTTCCAAGCAGTTGTAGCCGCAGTACAGAAAGCTTTGGATTGGTTGCTCTTTAGTATGACACCTTTCGAGGAGTTGAATATCTATTCCGACAGCCAAGCAGCTATCATGGCTCTTTGCTCGTTCGAGAAAGGGTAATAATTTTTTCATCTCCTTATCGACCGCATCGTATTAAAGTATTGAGCTCGTTTGGTTTCTGAGTCACAGCGAAATCGCTGAAAACTGCATGGCCAATGAGCTGGCATAATAG